GCTCTACAGTTCCTGATATTGTTTTTTTTTGTCTTATCTTTCAGACAGTGTCTTCTAAAGTTCACAGGGTTGCTGCTCAGTTTTTAAATGAAGTTCAATGCTTTTGAAATCCTTTTTAAGACCTCAGTCTCACTTTATTTGGATAGTCCACTTTAGTCCCTTATAGATTCTCCACAGATGTTCAAATTGTAAACAAACTATCTGCTGAAACTCAGTTGATTGTAAACAGTGGTGGGGTTAGGATTAGGACCAGGGTTAGGGCTAGGACCAGGGTAAGGGTTGCTATTAGGATTTGGGTTGAGGTTAAAGTTAAGGAAAAATTATGGTCAATTTAGTAGGTATTTATTTGAATGTAACGTGAAAGTAAATTAAGTATCTACAAATCATCTAAAGTGGACTATCCGAATCAAGGCCCAATCCCATTTCACCCCTTGGCCTTACCGCTTAGCCCTTAGCCCTCTGTTCTGCGCGTTCACGTCTAGGGTTAAGGTGTCCCAATTTTTGTTGAGATAGAGGAGTAGGACGAAGTGTTAGGGCTACATAGCCCTCCAAACAGAGGTTTTTCAGAGGCACATTCCAAACGGAGTGTTATGAAAAAAAAAAGAAAAACCGGCAAGATGGCTGCGCGAGCGACCAAAGAAACCCACAAACGTAAGTGTTTTTTTCCGTTAAAAATTACGGTAACCATTGTATTATCTTAGTTTAATGTTGTTTCAATGTAATATGGTCATTTTCTTCATAACAAGTTTAAAAATCGCTATGTTTTGGTAGCTAGTTAGCTAATTTTCCCGTTCCACCTTAAACAGTCCAGCAGTATTGACACCTGAAGTGCCAGAATGTAACTGCTGCACCATTTAAGGCGGAACGGGAATATTCGAACAAGAAGCTGGCTTTCAACCACTTCCCGTGTAACTCAGTTCCAAGGGGTTAGGGTGACACTCGAAAACAAGGGGTAGGGGTAAAAAGAAGAAATGGGATTGGGCCAAAGTGTTATCAAGGCCTCAGTTAGGGATTAAAGTAATACCGCACAGCCGCTCTCTCGTTTTCTTGCATTGACTCTTCAGTCTGTTTGACTGAATCACTTCGGCGTTCCTCTAGCCTTTCATGGACTGCTGTGGGCTGGATATTTTTGTTTGGTGGACTAGTCTAGAGGAGCTTAATATTAGATAATGCCACTTTTTCTTTTCAAGTGCTGATTCTGATACTGAAACCCTGAGTGTCTATACAATCCAACATGTTTAGTCTTTAAAAACTACTAAAATTAAAAAAATAAATAGTTTGTATACTATTAATACATGTCTATACCTACTACTCAAGCTACTTAACACCCTACCCTTACTGTTATGTGGTTACTGATGTTATAATGTGGCTTACTTCGCATTCATTCTCATTTTGTGCTGTTATATCAGCCTGATACCCAGTATCAGATCAGTGGCATCTATGCTTAATATACATGATGGCTCTTTTCAGTGGAGTCTTTAGGCATAATCATAGAATTTAAAAACTTAAATAGTATATTTTTTAACATTTTGTGACCTTCAAATTGCTGATTCTGTTAAAAGATTTTGTTGGGATTCCCTGAAACCTTGCAGTAGTTGAAGCAGGGTTGAATATGAACCCTAGAAGGTGAGTTGACAATAATTTAAAGGAAAAAACGCACAATAATAATAGCAGCACTTTTTTGTTCAGTAATTTTGTGGGCATACACTGTTAGAAATAAAGATTCTTTGCAGGTATTTTTTGGTTCATCAAGGTACAAACAATGTAAGTTCAGTAGAAGTTGTGGTTGTAGTATGTTGTCATCTCTAATTTGGCCACAAAACTGTAATTAATCTAGTAATAAAGAATAGAATTGCAAATATCACATGTACTTTACCATCTGAGTCTGCTTAGCTTGGCCTACATGATCATTTTCTAACCTTTCTTTAGCCATTAGAATTAAACAGGCTGTTTTTATTTCTGTACTGATTGGCTGCAAGAATGGATGGAGCTGAACTGCTGTAGGCAGTATGAGTGCATGTATGTAAATGTGCTGTTTTTTGTGACATCGTGGAAACTATGAATTCAAAATAAACTGTTTTCGCAGCATTCTTTCCATATATGGACTGCATGGATTGGGAAGTGAATGATATGCTTTGAAACTTTAACAGCACTTGTGAACTACTTTAAACTCTCTTATCTCAAAATTAGGTCTTAAGTGGTATGGGTCCCAGAAAACTGGTTAAATCTTGTCATTTTTATTTTCAAAAATCTGAAAGAACAGCTGATCCTACCTTGGCAATAATGCTAAAGGCCTCCTTTGCATCACCTTTTTGTGATGTCAGCACTTTCGATGAACATGTTGGAGATAAATATACCCAGAGGATTAGCACATAGCTGATTAATGAACACTGAACCTTGGCAGGTGCTGTTTTTCTTACTTAATTGAAAAGTATCAGTGAAACTTTTACTCAAAAAAGAAGAAATCTTAAGAAGGCAAAGTGTCCCCAGTCTTTACAGGCCGTGTGCACTAAGTAAATGTACCTTTATTTATTAAGTCTGTATTTTGACCCCAATTGAATTACAAATCAATTGATTTAGAAAGCTCACGTCAGCTCTGTGTGCTGAGTTTTGCTAATCCACATATGCTTTAGTAGTGATATACGGCTTGCGGAGACGTTTGAAATGTTGCAGACCAGCAGAGAAGTTATGATTATGTGCCTCCGACTGTGTAAAGAATTAGTTTGGAAACTTCTGGCCCGCTGTTTTTAATGAGGTGTATAAGCTACAGTACCGGAGCTGCTGCTCTGGGGGTTTTTGCGCTTCCTGCCGTGGCTCCTGGCCATCGCTGCATTCCTCTTTGGGTCCGGAGGGTAATGAAAAGCATGGGGCCGCAGGAGCCCTCCCTCCGCTCCCTGCACTAACTCGGTGCATGGTTCAGCGGTAAGGCTGCAGGGACGGTTCACTGAGAGGCCTTAACGAGGGGAGCGCGAGGGGCCTGAGGTCATTCAGTGGGCAGAATTCATGTCAACACTCTGATGCGAGAAAAGTGATACTAATCTTAGTGATATTTAGCTAATTTTATTCTTTTTTTCATTTAATTATTGATGACATCAGGGGTGATTTTGTGAACCATGCTAATGGAAGAGAGTCACTTCTGTGAGGTTACTCTTCCTAGATCTTTGAAACGCATCATCTTCCATTTTGTTGAATCGTTTTTGACTTGTAGCTCATTAAAGAAAAATGGAGAAACTTGGAGAAAAATGGAGAAATTTCAGACTTTTAACTGACTCAGACTTTAGACTAAAATCCTTTTGCTTTAAGTGACCCTTTACCTTAATTATGTTTATTTTATTAAAACAAATGATTGAACGTCATTCCATAGTCACTACCGAAACAACCATAACACTACTGAAATTTGGCCTAATGTTTCAGTAGTGACAATTTTAGCTAATTTTGAGTAGAACTCAGAAACACTAGCCAGTACATGACTAGCTATCACAGCTTTGAACAGTTGTGCACATATAAAATCATAAAATCTTTTATTAAAATACAAAAAAGTTCCCCTAAGTGCAGAAAATCTGTGTTTCAGTAGCGACAATTCTTAATGTTCCACACTGATTTTCAGACAATGAGATCTAACTGCTCACCATGTGGCCACGAGGGACAGGGATGCAGTCTCACTTCCTACTCTAAAATGCAGGGGTGTGGCTAAAATAAGACCCCGCCTCTGAACTAAAATTCTTTGTGTTTTGGTAGTGACATGAAAATATATCAGCAATTTTTGACTCTAGCATTCAGAACAAGTGTGAAAACAGCTGTAGTTTATTATTATCTCTATTAATGCCTTGGGTTTAAATAGATCATAACATCACACACATTTTTTTAATCGCTTAACCTCCTGGGTCGTTGTGGGGGGGAGGTTGTGCTGGAGCCTATCCCAGCAGTCATTGGGCAGAAGGCATCATAATATCATTTTTGTAAATATCTAAAGTTTGAATACTTGAATTTTTAAGTAGGTTTTTTTACTGTGGGACTGCAGTTTGAAATAATTCAGTCAAATGATCCATATACCTCGCGACATTTTTTATGAGTCTAATTTAAAGAAAAAATACTCTCTTTTGCAGAGAAAAAAGGTTTGTGTTTTCTGAAAAATGTTGAAAGTGCAGACTCCAATATGCTGATACAGAATATATATTAAATATAAATGTTATCATTATGTAACTGTTTACTTAATTATGTAATCACTAGGGCTGTAAACTTTCAAACTTCGTTATTAGACTTGATTCAATTTGGTGGAGTCTCAATTTGGTTCATTTTTTAATACAGCAAAAATAAAGAGCGCCAGAAAATGTGCTTTACATTAAAGACCTGTCTTACTTTTTCTTGTTTTATATTTCACCCCTGAGGTCCACTTATAACATTTGTTTAGTTTTATGTACCAAAAACGGCAATAATTCATTTTTACTCGGCCATTTTTCAACCTCACTTTATCCCTTAGAATTAAACAGGCTGGTTTAGATACTGCGTCTGTAAGACTGATGTATGTAAATGAGCTCAGTTCTAAATGGAATGACATTGATTTTCTTGGCTACTGTTGATATGTGCATATTTGGCTGATACAAATATATGAAATATTTTGCAAAAAAGCATCCATCCTTTCTGCTTCAGCTCTTCTGATTCTTGGTTCTCTAAGGGTAACAGACTTTGAGCTGTTTGTTTCCAGTGCGGACGTGTAATCTGACTGAATCAACAGTGCTTTATTAATAAGCCGAACAAAAGCTGCTCTCCTCCTGCGTTCTATCCATCATTAAGATGTTAATTCTGTTTCCTGTGCTGTCATTAAGATGTTGATTAATACCATTGGCTGTTCAGCTGTAATATGATAATAATGAACATTCAGTGTCAAACAGAAGTGCTTATTATCTCTCTCTCTCTCTCTCTCTGTCTCTCTCTCTCTCTCTCTCTCTCTCTCTCTCTCTCTCTCTCTCTGTCTCTCTCTCTCTGTCTCTCTCTCTCAGAACACGGCTCGTGTGTCTGACGCCCTGCTGTGGAGGAATCGGAGCCCCTTTTCTCCTTCTCTGACACAAGGTGGGCTTCTCCTCTTCTAACGCGCTCGTCGGCACGGCAACGGGCAGGCACAGGGGCAGTCTGGGAAAAAGAATCCTGCCTCTTTGTCTGCCAGGAGTAGCATCACAACAAACGTGACCATATTGTGCTGAGATCAGGTTCACATAATTACAGTTACCTTTCAGAAGGCTGTTCAATTAACTACATTTGCAGTTTCCTCTAGAATATTATAAGCTCCCCGGACAAAAATTAGTCAAATTGTGTTTTTTAAGGTGGTAGTAACTTCAGCCTCCTGCAGATGGCGTTGCACGAGGATGATTAGGCTATACACTTCTGCGGGGTTTGGGACGGAATTCATTGAGAGAAGGTGGTACAGTGCAGTGAATGTCTTGTTCGCTGTGTGGAAAATGGGTCGCAAAGCAGATGGAAATGATTGACAAAAAGGAGTGATTGCATTTGGTCGTGCCAAAGGCCACCGTGTGAAGGAAGTAGCTGAGTTTTCAAGTGTATCGAAGTGTACGGTCATACGGGTCTACCAGCAGTGGCAAAATTCCCAGTCTGCAGGAATTCTCATCAGAATTGTGGCCAAAAGACGAAACTGACGTCAACAGACGTCCATTTTTTTGCCAGTTTGTTTATGCTTATGCTTAACATACTGAACATTACAACTACAAGTTAATAAGCAAAATGTGCTTTTATTATTGATAAAATCTGCTTTCGGTAGCACAAAACTGAGGGGATCATGTATTGGTTATTTTCCTCAATAAATAAATGACAAAGTCTAATATTTTGGTCTTATTGCTTCAGTTCAGTTCTCTTCATCTACTATTATGACTTGTGTGAGCATCTGATGAAGTTTTAGGTCAAATTTATGCAGAAATATAGAAAATTCCAAAGGGTTCACAAACATTCAAGCACCACTGTAAATCTAGTGTGCGCTGCTGCACTAAAGAACAAATATCTCAAGCTGGCAGTGAACGAGGGTCTGCTTGCACAGCGAAGTGCTGCTATCACTGCAGCAGTCCGTTAGTCATGTTAACCATACTGCCTTGGCAAATTCCTGCTAGGAATACACTGTGTGATTGTTTTTAAACAATCACAACCACTTCCTTTACACAGGTGGACACACATAGGCTAACAAAACGGGGGGGAAAAAGTCAACATTTGCGGAACCAAAGTTTGTATACACCGACTTTACTCTGTTTGACTGAATAAAATTGTGAAGTTCAAAAGTTAATATTTTTTTAAACTGCCTTTGTGAAAGAGGCTATAGAGACCATATTGTCCCCCATGTACACTGCCTGGTTTTAGTTTCAGTGCACAGTGTGGCACAAGTTAGTAAAGTACTGTAAGTCTGTTGCTCAATATTTGACATTGTGTTATTTCGAATGAAAAACGTTTTTTTGGAAATTATCCATCTGTAGCAGCTCCGTTTCATGTACAGTGTGAGCACCTATGTTGTAGCATGCCAGTCAGACTAGCATTTTCTTACAGTGTGAGCGCACAAATTGAAGGCTTTGTCCATACACCAGGGGTCACAATCCAAATGTTAATAAGAGCCATTTTGTCCTTTCACCAAAAATCAAGCCATAACATTTTATGTCCATTTTACCATCTTGGCTGTAAATATGTCTCAGTATTTGCTAATGTTCTGGTATAGACTGAAAAGTATAATATAAACAAAAACGCAGACTTTCTTTGCTCTTCTCTAAGCTTTAGCTCAGCTATAGCTGCTTTTCTCGCATCTCTGGCAGGAAACTTTTCTGCAAAAATACAAAAAAGTTTCTTATAAAATGTCTCGTTTGAGGCTGAAGTCAGCTTCTCATTCATCAGCTTCTTGTTTGAATTTTCCTGTTCCACCTTAAATGATGTAGCAGTTACATTCTGGCACATTGGGTACCATTTAAGGTTGAACGGGACAGTTTGAACGAGAAACTGACTTAAGCTTTACGACTTTTTAGTGTTTGACAGTTTCTCGTTGCAGATTAAACGTATCAGTAACTACCTGAAGTACTGATAAATGCAAATGTGTCCATTTGTCTCCAAATTTTTGTTGTTTGTCTTAAATCTCACCTTTTCATTAGCTGCTAGCTAGGTGAGATTGTTGTCTGCGTTGGTATGGTGACCAGCAGTCTGCACACCAACCTTCAGGGTTAAAGGGTGAATTTGCAGTTATACATTGACTCCAGTGTTGAAGACCGTTTATTGTTAAAACTGTGCTAGAGCTTTATTTTATTGCAAAGGAGGACTATTTTATTTTTACAATATTTAGCAATAAATAAAAGTATGTTTCTCCCATAGAGCCCCATTCATTTCCCCCGCATATGCCCAATTATTTCTTTGCCCGATAACAAACAAACTGCATGTACTAACTCAGGGCAGGTCCTCAAACTCTACTGCACAGCCATACTGACCCACACTGCTCTATGTGTCGTTTTTCCATCCCTCGTTCCTCCCACTGGGTCCCATTCATTTTCACTCCCATCAAAGCCCTAATCTTTCTGTTTCCTGACAGCTGCCAAAGTACATGTACTCACTCAAAAACCCTTATACCATAGTAACTGCCTGTCAACACCTTAGCAACTGTGCAGTCACTGTGCATTTTTTTCTGCATTATTCTAGTGATTATTAATAGTAAAAGGAATAATTTATTGAACATGTGAGTCTTCTATCATATTGCATGCTGTCTCTGTAAAGCATGACTCTCATGGCTTATTGCTTTGTTAATAGGATGCAGATGGATGTAAAGGACATATCATGTCATTATGATAGAGTGATCCTCGTATAATCCTCTGTTCCTCAGATGTGGAGACTAGACCACCTGCACCAGTCAGTGAAGTGCTGCTGTTGATTGAGCGCAATAGGACTTATTTGCGTGTGCCCTTTGGTAAAAACTTCCTGTTGTAGGTGTTTTTTTTTTGTGACGGAGGCAGAACATGCAAAAGGAAACAGAAAAGATGAGGTCAAAGGGACAGAAGAAGGTGCTTGGACCCCCACCTTTTTTCACCCAGCAGAGCGAGAGTGAGCGAGGGGGAGGTAGCTGCGAGAGAGACAGGAGCAGAAAACAAATTATTCTCTCCTGTTCAGCCTGCCACAGAGAGCGAAGCAAAGCATTAATCTTTCTCCTCGTCTGGAGGGATGGAGGGATGTGGTGGACGTGTGGTGGGGGTGGGGTGGTGGAGCTCTGCGTGGTGCCACAGTCAGGATGATGCCAGGTTTTCCACACCGCAGAATCAGAGACTGCAGCCCACCTTGCAACACCAACCATTGTGAGATTACCCCTCCAGTAATTATGCCAGTGGCATAATTGTCATTGCGTTATCGACAATATTTTGACAGATACAGATAAAAATGTGGCTCATCAGTTTTGGCTGTTATTAAGTAACTGTAAAAATAGTTCAGCGTGGCTGCTACCATTTTTAACTCCTGCTGCTCAAACTGTTTGAACGCATCTGCGCTGACCAGTGCAGGGACAGTGTTTTTAATCGCTATTTCTCGTTTTTAATTGCCATTAAAATGAATCGTGAAGTCTTGGATTTTGATACTTCATTATAAATTTATTTAATCTGGTGCTTTTTGTGTTCTTTGTTTTGTTTTTTGTTTTTTGTATGGGTCTTTTGGCTCAAATGGGTAACACTTTATTTGTATAGACGCCTTCAGATGCTCTGTAGATACTTCATTTACTTTCAAGTTACATTCAACTAAATATCTACTAAATTGACCATAATTTTCTAAAAGTCTAAACCTGGCTTAAATCCTAACCCTAACCTTAACAGCAAAGCAAAAACTAAACGCAACCCTCACCATGGTCCTTGCCCTAACCCTGGTCCAAATCCTAACCCTAACCCCACCACTGTTTAGAGTTTCAACAGATAGTTTGTTAACAATTTGAACATCTGGAGAGAATCCATAGAGGACAATCCAAATAAAGTGAGACCAGCAAATGTGGCCTTTTTTTGGCCAAAATGTTGGTGTATTTCCATAGAAAAGTAAAGAAGACGCATTGAACAAGCGGTGCTTGGACCCCTAGTTGGTCATGTGGTAATCAGAGCTGTGGTGTATTCAGATGTAAAGGGTTACAGATTCTCTGATGCCCCCTGATACGGCAGTGAGTTTAGAAAACAGAGGTCAGGATTCTTGACTCGCCATCAGTAAGAGCGTCAGTACCGACTGACCGAGTGCCGCCTAACACACACACACAGACACACACACACTCAAAACATAGATGATTCCAACAGAAGCAGACAGACATACCAGACAGTCCAGACAGACAGACAGACAGTTATTAGTGTGACCCTCTGTGAGCCCACCTCTCTTGTTTTCTCGCTCTCTCTACCTTTCTATTCTCTTTTTGTTTTTTCCTTTTTTCTCTTTTTCTTTAAATCTCTCTCTCTCTTAAAAGTCATTTCTGAACAGATGTACGTCCTAATTTACCTTGTTTGTTGCACTGTGGCATTTTTGTAGCATGAGTCATTTTACCGTGGGTGTGTTTTCCCCTGTTGCTCTGTCTCTCTCTCTATCTCTCTCTCTCTCTCTCTCCTTCCCCCTCTCTCTCTATCTCTCTCTCTCTCTCAGACTCTGGGGTTTGATTATGTGTTTTGACTCAGAGTGGGCTTCATATTTGTTTTTGTCTTTCGGTTTCTCTTGAGTGGGCTGCGTGCCCCGGTCGTGTGTGGATTAAGTGCTACTGATCTTCTCCAACACAAACACACAGCTCTTTTTTCTTTATTCTTTGTCTTCTATCAAACAGTGGTTCTCAGGCTGAAAACAAATTCTGCCCTTGAATTTCACAGAGCAGCGTGAAACTCAGAGAATATCATATACCCTCTATGTGCTTTATTATCTAAATCAGGGGTCAGCAACCCAAACGTTAAGAAAGAGCCATTTTGTTCTTTCAACAAAAATCAAACCACCTTGGGAGCCACAACATTTTATGTCCATTTAACCATCTTGGCTGTAAATATGCCTCAGTATGTGCCGATGTGCTAGTATAGGCTAAAATATAATATAAACAAAACACAGACTTGCTTTGCTCTGCTTTAAGCATTACCTCGGCTATAGCCGCTTTTCTCGCATCTCCAGCAGGAAACTTTTCCTCATAAGAGGAATAGTTTCTTGTAAGATGTCTCTCAATGTTCAACTTTTTACGAGGCTGAAGTCAGCTTCTCATTCACCAGCTTCTTGTTTGAATTTCCCATTCCACCTTAAATGGTGCTTGAGGTGCCAGAATGTAACTGCTGCACCATTTAAGGTGGGATAAGACAATTCAAACAAGAAGCTTGAAAATGAGAAGCTGACTTCAGCCTCGCGGCTTTTTAGTGTTTGACAGTTTCTCGTTGCAGATTAAACGTATCAGGAAACCAGCTGAGTACATTCATTTCCATTATCGCTGTTCTTAAATCTTTCTCTTTGCCTTTTTGTTAGCTACTGGCTAGATGAGAATGTTGTCTGCATTATATGTGTTGCTATGCTGACCAGCAATCTTAAAGGGTGAATTAGCAGATATAGGCTACATTAACTCCAGCGTTTAAGACCATTTATTGTTAAAACTGTGTTAGAACGATCAGCAGAGCTTTATTTTACTGCAAATTAGGATTGTTTTATTTTTGCTTAAAAATCTAATTATGCTGTGGAGCCACAACAGGCTGTTTCCAAAACCCTGATCTAAATAAATACAGTATATCTTAAATTCAGCCAATGAACAGTAGTTGTGCAGAAGTGTGTTCTCTGTAGAGGATGTGTGTTCACTTATTTACACTTAGAAAATCAACAAAAGATGTCATTTGTCCAGGGCCGCCCAAACTTTTTCATACAACTACATATGCAGTAAAGTGTCCCATGTGTCTGCAGTCCACATCATGCCCGTATTAGGATCTCTAGGTCTAGGCTGTTTATCTCTATGGGATGAATGAATGGCATTTTTTAAAAAATTGCTTGTGGTGAGCAACAATGTTCCAGACCTGATATGTTCTGTCTTGTGTACTTTTTTCCCTCAAATGTTACTGGATCCTATGAATTAAAGGTCCTTAAGTAGTTGAAATACAAATATTCCTGCAAATATGCTAATTAAATGATGTTGCATGTAGTGTTGCAGTAAGTCTACTATTAAACTTTAACACTATTTTACACCAATGCCAGCTGCTCAGACTGTACTCTACTACTGTCAAAGTATCTCAGCTGACGAGCTTTGCTGGTTTGTGTGGAGTATATTGGTGAGGTTACCAGTGTTATGATGTCAATTCAGTGTGCAGCAGTGTTAGTGTGTGTGTAGCATGCAAGTAGTGAAAGGGACAAAGACTGAATCACTGTTTGAATTGAAAGTAGTTAAAATTCAGATTCAAATTCAGATCTTTTTTTCTGAAACCATGAAATAATAGGAAATTAGGGGAATAAGGGGGTCTTTAGAGGAATAAGAGGGTCTTTAGAGGGAGAAGGGGAGGGAGACTGTACAGAGGAAGGAAGAGAGTGGGGGGTGGTGGTGGTGGGGGGGGGGTTGAGTTGAGGGGAGGAAAAGGTAAAATAAAAGAGAGAGAAAGTTGGAATGGGTTCCAAACAGATGGTGAAGACAGAGAGAAGAACACAAGCTGGAAGATGCACTTTTCACATGATTCTCTACTCCCCCCTTTTCTTTTTTTCTCTCTCTCTCTTTCTCTCTCTCTCTCCTCTCGCTCTATCTCTCTCTCTCTCTCTCTTTCTCTCTCTCTCTCTCTCTATCTTTCCCTCTCTTCTCTCTCCTCGCTCTCCCTTCACTCTCATGTCTTTCTTTCTCTCCCTCTCTTTCTCTTTATCTCTCTCTCTATATATTTATCTCTCTCTCCTTTCTTTCTCTTTCTCTCTTCTGTCTCTTTCTTTATTTTTCTCCCTGTCTCGTTTCTCCCTCACTCCTCTCTTTCTGTCATTCTCTCTCTTCTTTTTCCTTCTCTAACCTTTTTTTGTCTCTCATCTGTCTTTTCTCTCTCCTTTTGTCCTTTATCATGTTTCTCTTGCTTTTTTTTTCTCATTCACTCTCTCTCCCCATCTCTCTCCCTCTCTCACTCTCTTTTGCTTCCCCTCTCTTCTCTCACTCTCATTTCTCTCTTTCTCTCTTCCCCATCCTCTCCATCTTTCTTCATTTCTCTCTCTCCTCTCCTCTCTCTCTTTCTTCATTTCCCTCTTCGTCTGTATCTCTCTCTCTCTCTCTTCAATCTTTTTTCTCCTTTCCCCCTCTTTTCCTCACTCTTCTGTCACTCTCTTTTTCCCTTCTCTTTCTTTCCTCTCTATCTCTCCTCTCTCTCTCTCTCTCTGTTGCTCTATCCTTTTATTTTGCCTTTTTCTTGCTTTTTCTCTTTTCTTCTTTACTCTCTGTCTGTCTCTCTCTCTGACAGTGACTCTTCATGCTTGTAAACAGCTGCCTAATGGATCTCTCACACATAAACATCATTAGTCATGAGAGCCGTCCTCCTCCTCCTCCTCCTCAAATCCTAAATCATTCATGCTCATTTTCTCCTCAGACACGCTGCACCTTTCCCTCTGCTCACAGCCAGCTGCTCACACTCCTGTGTGTGTGTGTGTGCGTGCATGTGTGTGTGTGCGTGTATTGCAACTGTGCAATATTGCAAAAATATCACAATACTTGAAGACATTTTTAGAACAAATAAAATTCTTGACTGAAGCCGAAACCAATATTTGGGACACACTCAGCCTAAACATCCGACAAATGAACAACAGCATTCATAAAATCACCAGACTGGAATGATTATAGCATGTAGGCCGCATAATGTGCCACAAAATCCACCGTCCTCAACGACAGTGCATCCAAGGCAGTGAATTCCATTTTGTTTTTGTTATACTTTGCTTTTTAACTCTGCTGTTTGTGATTTTTTTCGTCATTTAAAAAAGCGTGTGTAGATGACGATGGCACGCTTGCAGGGACCTTCTGCTTCTGTCGTTTTTCTGTATTCTGCATATGTCGTGTTTTTAAAAAGTAACTACACCCTAAGACTTTTTTTGTTCATTAACATCTTTATCGTGGTCGGTTCCGCCTCTGCAGCGCCCCTCCGGTTCAACTCTGCTGTAGGCACAGATGACATGTTCTCGTACCGAAGTACGAAGACACGTCACAGTATGCAAATCAGGTCAACCAACTTTACCGCCCCTGATGACGCCCTACTCGTGCTGCGCTCATAAATATGAAAGCATAGGAGCCTCAAACCAGGAGATCACATTCACCACACCATCTTAAATGGTGCAGCAGTTACATTCTGGCACCTGAAGCAAAACATGGCTAATATGTTTTACGTCACTGATTAGTTCTCAAGATTGCGAAGTGAGAGAATTGCTGATTGCCGATCGCATGTTTGGGCTGAAAATCAGCTGATACTGATACATAGCTGATCGTTTCTTTCATCTCTAGTTTTAGATATCATTCTCTTAGACCTATGAGTAAAGCAAGTACTGTAATTGTAATCAAGTCAGTGACTAATGTAAATACAGGAGGTGTTACACTACTTTGTTATTGGAGAAAGTAATCACAGTACTGTAATGCATACTTTTGTACTGCATCCCCCTCAGCACTGCATGTGGTTGTCCAACCCCCACCATATAAAATCAATGCACTTCCTCCATCACGCTCATGCATGTCCATCCCACTGCTTGTCATTTAAGGGCTGCTGAAATCGAGGTCACATGTTTGATATTGATGATAACGGACGTGAAGTGGGTTGATCGCATTTGTGTCTTAGTTTGTCTCAGATTCCACTGAAGTTCTTCTCTCAGCTCTGTTCTTCTCTCAGTACTGAGCCAGTGTCTTTCTTTTTCTCCTCTCTTTCAGGATGTGAAGCTGAGTGAAGCAAGAGCCCTTTGTTTAAACATTGCTGAAGAGGTGAGTGCTGAGTGTGTATCTGCACTGGAAAAAGTGATTCAGGGTCTTAAAAAGTGAGTAACCTGGTTGCCTTAAAATTTAAAAAGTAAATAGAATGTAAAACACAGATTGTCATTCTGTTAACTTACTATTAGAAGGTCAGTGAACTTAAAAGGCAACCAGATTATTTTACTTAGTTGATTTAAAACATGAAAGGGGATTATTTGTAAAAAAAAAAAAAGGAAAAAAATGTGTATATGTATGTGCATATATATATATATATATATATATATATATATATATATATATATATATATATATATATATATATATATATATATATATATATTATGTTTTGTTTTTTTTTCCCAAATATAGTCTATCAGCCAAGCCATGTTTTTTTGCTTAAATTTTTCACTTGAGAATTTTTTTTCCAAATAAAAACATTTTAGATGCTTTAGTAATCCTGTTTTTGTAAATTAACAGTGGCGTATTATGCTAGAATGTCAGTTTACATACATATCGATAAACCTGTATCAGTATTGCCTTCTAACACTAGTGCCAAGGCCAGGCAAAAACAATGCCAAATGTTTGAATTAGACTAAATTTGTCTTCTTATTTGGACAGCTTTTTGTTCTGATTTTCCGTTCCACCTTAAATGGAGCATCAGTTACATTCTGGCACCTGTACAGGCACCTGAACGTAACTGCTGCACCATTTAAGGTGGAACAGGAAATTCGAATAAGAATCCAACTTCAGCTTTGTTGAATTTCTTCATTTGTCCGTACATGTGTCCCGTACACTTGTGCCTCCGACTGTCAGACACTGCTGGAATCTGGAAAATATTACAATCAGCTTCAGTTCTAGCTGCAGCACGTTTTGTGCACAAGGCCTTGACCGCTGCATTGTCTGATGCAGCTGATCCAAGTCGGTACAAGAAGAAACAAAGTGCAGCAATCACTCTGGTATCGCTTTTCCATGCTAAGGCTAATTCCAAAACACTGGCCATGGACTACTTCATATGCAGCAGACTAGTCAGAGGGAGGGTCTTCTGTTTTTTCATTTCCATTCGAAATGTTACTGAAACATCCCTGACTCAGTCACGGAGCTAAACAGGCTAACATTAATGTGGCTCACACTGTGTATATGCTGCGTTATCTGCGCTTATTTGTGGCGTACCAGTATATGGTTCAGATGAAAATCCAGTACTACTAGCAAGTAATCCAGGCCTATAGCCACCAGTTAAACTACATGCAAATTGCTTAGTCATCAAACCATGTCGAGCTATTAAATAATCACAATTAGATGTGCTGGTGTGGGTGCAGGCAGCGTGGCCGTGGTGCTGCTGGGAAATTATACAGAGCTCTTGGTTCTCAGGTCTTATTCTCTCTCTCTCTTTTTTCTCCCTCTCTGGCCTGAACTGAGTGAAGGCTAAGTTGAGGTGAAGGTTAAGGCAAGGCCAGTGTACAAAAACAAGAGTATTATTGTATTATTCTGCAGCAGAAAGATGGAGTGATATTAGGAGTGGCATGCAGGAAAGAGTGAGAGAGAAGCAGAGGGAGAGAAAGATCAAGGAGCAATTCAGTAAATTCAGTAATTCATTTAAAGGTCCGAAAACATGCCGTCCACAGCTTTAAGATGCACAAAAGTACTTATATTTGTCTCACAGTTTTCTTTTAGTGAGTTTTCTTTTAATGTGTTTCAGTAGTCATGTCATGAATCAGCCCTGATATGTTGTCTGGCTTTAAAACTTTCTGTAGGAGTGTGAAACAGAACATTTTTCCCCCACCCATTGTCATACTTGTTAAACTGATAAATCTATGCTGCAGTTTTCCACACATTAAATGACCTCCCTCACCAAACATCAATGGGGGCTTGCAAGATTTTTACCTTTACATCAGTTATTAAAACAAGGAAAGATGACACAGCTGCGGTGATGATGGACTTTGGGCTACTTCACATGGTTTATTATTTTAACAAGAAGTGATTTATAGGTATGCAATTTGTCAAACCTATAGCAAAAAACCTACCTAACCATACCAAAAACTACCAAACCGTAGCAAGAACAATGTTAGCTTACAAGTTTCTGAGTAGAGGTCTGCACAGCTGGACCATATTTTGCGGTGCAGGACTAGTTTTCAATGTTGCGCCCGGCAATGGGCGGGAAACCAGCCCGCTGTAGGTGGGAGCAGGATGAAACACCCATGTGAAGAAATCTTACAAATGAATGAGTAGTCTAAATGAGGTAGAACAATCACTATATCACATATATAAACAATATGATGACAGTAAAACGGTATTTCTGAACACAAAGCATGTTTATTCTCTCTAGTTTTAGCAGAAATGTGGTTTTCACAGGAAATGTGATCATGCAAAAATATGTTGCAGACATTGTCGGGTATCGACCCCTCCCCCCACAAATAGCGATGGTTAGGGGCGCAATTGGACGATTGACACATCATCTCGCTTGCCTTCTATCACTAAACAGACGAAACCTTCTCTTCTCTACCCACAGACACTCAGGCTCCATGTGTGAATGTGTTGCTGAACTACAGATTATAGCTTTTCAATCCATACTAAGTCAGACCAAATCAGAAAAGCAGAATCAAACCTGTGGATAGCAAATATAATGTGAATGTCTCTTTTTCTTGTTTTGCTCTACCTGGTAGCTTTGAACAGTGCTATCTGTCTAGTTAATGTCAGTTGGCTTCTAACTCACTCTTTTGTTTACTCACTCACTCACTCGTGTTTAGCACTCTGAAAATTCTCCACAGGGGGCACTATTAACATTCCAGTAGTTTTGTGTGAATACTTGAAAGGAGGTAGACTGGCATCAACCCACACCAGCTCCATCTCACAAATGCACTTACGTTTGCAGTCATAAATTGAATGTGCATGATGTAAAAGGCTCGAAACACGCTGTGTATAGTTTGCCAGTGTATATCTGTCCCGTTTGCCAAACCTAAGTAAAGAGTAGAAACACACAGTGTTAATAAAATAAATATTGCAGCACTGGTGGTGAAGCTACCCGTAGCTCTTAACAGTAGTGAATATTGTGAACGGTTTTCTTTTATTATTATGTTATTGATGTTTTTGTCACTTTGATAGCATTTGTGTTCAAATTCACCATTTCAGTTTATATTGTTGTCTCTAATGAATATTATTGACATTGTTATCGGCGATTTCCCAATACCAATAAAACCATGGGTCCTCAGTGTCGGCCAATATTATCGATGGCCTATATATTGGCTCTAAATCACGCTCTCCTTGTTAGTGTAATACTGTCCTGCAATATTTGTTAGCTATGCAACCACCTGCTCCACTACTAGCAGGTCGGTCAGGCTTGTTTAGCATGGAACACTCCTGCTCTGCCTGCAAAGAAAAGAAAAAACGCTCGTACTGACTAGACTGGAGTGGTGACCCATTTCCCTGAGGCATTCAGTCGGCAAATAATAAGCCATTCTCCTACACAGTCTCCTCCACTGTGCAATTAGAGTCCTCCTCTTTTCTTCATGTGAAGGAAGGCTGAAGAAGATTCTCCCCCGTCTGTATCTCCTCTGAACTGGGTGGATTCTGAAACTGTCACCTCTGAGTGACCTTTCTCGCAGGACCATGCTGTCTTGTGTGCAGGCTGAAGTGAGGAGGAAGAGAAGGAGAAGAAGGAGGAACTGTAGACTGAAACCAGAGAGACTCTTCAGCATAATGTTAGAGGAAAGAGCTCAGGCTGAGTGATATATAATCTTATGCCAAAAATGTTATTGTGATATTTTTTGTGATATATATGTTCATATTGAGCATATTTTTGAAAATACGCTAAATGCGTAGTTATGAAAGGGAAAAGTAGCCCATTTTAGTCCATAGCCTTATTTGAAAACATCTCAACAAGTTTAAGTTGGTCAGAAAATGAGTGCATACTTTATTGAATATATTATAATTGATTGTAATTGATTAAAACATTCCAAAATCGATGCAGTTGAATCGCCACCCTCATGAAGATCAGAGGTGTCATGATGCCTATATTTTCATATTCAGTATTATTTTCAATTCTGAGGTCAAGATTTAATTCAGTATTTGAGATTATATGCGTTAAAAGCTCTTAATTCTGTGAAACACTAATTACGCTACACAGTTTGGTTGAGAAAAATAGAAATTTTATTTCAAAACGAAGATTGTGAAGTCGTTTGTCCTCGTACAAAAAAACCCTGATGTTACTTCATTGTGGCCTCATCACCACCTTCCCCTTTTTCGAGGGACTATGTTAATACTTTAATTTCATTCAAGATTTATTTATATAGTGCTTTTTACAACAGATGTTTTCACAAACCAGCTTTATAGAAAGTCCAGTTTCAAACCCCAGATGAGCAAGCCAAAAGCAAGGAAAACTCCCTAAGAGCAAGAGGAAGAAACCTTGAGAGGAACCACGACTCAAAAAGGGGAACCCGTCCTCTGGTCGACATAATAACAAGAGCAAAACAAAAACGAATAGTTTGAATAAAAAAAAATTGACAGTAGTGAAAAATAAAAAAAGAAAGAAAAAAAGTCAAGTTGTTAGACAACAAGTATTTACATCACCAATGATAATCAGTGACTACTGTTAGAGGCCTATCAGATGAGGAATAGATCTGTGAAAACCATTTACTGACTAATAATAGTTTTAGTGTTACTGTTACAGTCACTGTTACTGACTAGTGTATCAGTGTTACTGTTACAGTCAGTTACTGACTAATAATTGTTAGTGTTACAGTTCCTGACAAGTGGCGTAATGTTAGTGTTACAGTCACTGTTACTGACTTGTTACAGTGTTAGTTTTACTGTTACAATCAGTTACTTAGTAGTGACAGTGTTAGTGTTACTGTTACAGTCACTTTTATTAATAATAATGTTAGTGTACCTGTTACAGTCACTGTTACTGTTTAGTGACAGTGTTTCTACTATAGTCACTGTTAGTGTCACTGACAACTTTAATAATGAGAAGTTCAATATTTTTGTATACATACTTATAAACATCTGCATGCAAAAAC